ATGTTAATTAATTTTAATTAAATATTTAATCTAGCGATCACTCGATCTGATAGGCAGGATCAGTATCAGTCTGATATTGGTCAAAATTCCAGAATCAAACATAAAAAAAAACAACCTAAATGCCCAACTTAACTTTGCATGTCATGCAGTAAACATGGACGCCATCACCTCAACAACGACAGCCCACGGTACTGGTATCAGCAGATACTCTTAAGTGGTAGTATTTCTATCAAAAGTTGTACCCCTACATCTTCGAGCTCAAGCAGAACCAATAAGAACTCTTCATCACCCCTTTGCCAAACCCTCTGCCTCCGAGCCGTGATTTACTTCTAGAGTTTCTAGTTTCTTCTTGCAAACCAAAGGATGAGTGTCGTACATTTGTCGCATTATTAAACTTCCACAGATACGTGAGGTTGAAAACCTACTGTTACTGCCAGGATAATTATCGTGATGAGTCTGGAGCTCACTCCAGGCTGCACTGATTGTGCTGTTAAGTATTGATATGCAGTGGGTGTGTGTGAAAACTTCACACAGTTTCCCCAAGCTGGTCAGAGAGAAAAATGTTGTTTAGACTGGGTTTTTTTCCACTTTCCATTAGAAACTGTTGTCATTTTAAATGCTATTTAAGAGATGGATTCAGTGTCAGAGGTGAGACTGGAAAAAGTTTAATCTAAAGTTCACACATACATAGTTGTAGGCCCTGAGAATTTTCTACGCTTTTGTTGATTTGTGGTTTGTTTCTTCTATTCCTATTTGGCGCTGTCGCCTCTATTTATGATGCTCTCTGCAGCCGCTGTGTCTTTCAGTAAATGTGTCTTTTACCCTCAGTTGTCTGGTGGCCCAGAGGCACAGCTGATGTATCGAGGGATTCCTGTTGTGTCTCCATGAAATGAGTCTTTCACACACACTTGTATGAGGCATCGCTCCAGCGTCACACCACGGTATCTACACAGACATCGTTGTTTTTTTACAAATGATCAAAATAAAAGAGCGTATCAATCTAGGAATGATGCTGATCAAATTCAGAAATCATGATGAGAAAAAACCCAGAATGTCCTGCAAATTTCTGGATGTGGACAAAAATTCTTTTGCCACAGAAACGTCCAAAACCATCATGGTATTGACACCAAATAACGCTGGAGGACAAGTCTCTGCAGGTCACATTTGCCAATGTCTCACTTGAAATGCCATTTCACGGGGATCTGAGTTTAACTAGAAAATAAAAAAATCCAAATCAAACTCACTGGTCTTCAATTGGTGTAAACTCTGTCTGCTTTATTAGTGAATCTGACTCCTAGCAGAGCCACATGTACTGACAAACTACCAATATAGAAACATTAAGACCATTATAAACCACACCTGTGGCTCTGCTTCATTATAACCAGAATTTTAAACCTCACTGGTCCACGTGGACCACATGAGTGAGAGCACTCAGGGTTACAAAACCCTGTTAGGACCAGCTGCCTTTTCACAAAGTAAGTGCCCAATGTCAGTGTGTCATCAAATTGCCATGACAATCAGCCCGGCTTTTTGTCCCAAAACTATTACAGCAATATCAGGACAAAGGTAAACGGTTCTGACAGTTCTCTCCAGTAAACAAGATTTAAAATGTTATTGTCATAACAAACACAAAGACTCAAACCATGCATCACCACCACACACACACACACACACTCAGCCCCTGTCACCCCCATATACTTGTGAAAATGTTGTTGTATTTTTTGTTGCCACAAACATAATAATTTACCCAATTATGGATAAATAAAGTTGAATTTAAATTAATACAGTCTAGTCCAATCTAATCTAATCTAAACATTCACAGAAATATCATTCTTTGTTTGACCAAATAAAAAGAAACTTACAACAAAACAAAGAAAGACCAGAACAAATGAAAAGTCTTTGTAAAGTGGCCATATTTAGCATATTTAGATAAAAAGAGTTTAAACTGGTTAAAAATAACAATAATACAAACTAATACACATTGTATTTAAGATGACAAAACATGATTTCAATTTAGTCAACTAATACGTTCTTCAACTCAAACCAAACTGTCTTTGAAACAGTGCTGTTGACTAAGTTGAGACTAAGACTTAGTTAACTTTAAAACAGTGCTGTTGATTAAGTTGAGACTAAGACTTAGTTACAAAAAAACAGTGACTAAGTTGAGACTAAGACTTAGTTACAAATGAGTCCAAAGACTAAAACGAAGTCAAATTTAACGATGACTTCCCTGAGGAACCACCAAATAAGGTCACACTATTTGCTTTATTAACTGCTGATCTGGGATCTGTCTGTTGCTGAAATTTTATCACCGTCTGGTAAAAGTAGACCATGAATGTCACAACACACGTGACGCCGTTCACGGCAGTGCAAACTGTGACTTTGTCATAGATTACATCCTCAGAACCTGCTGCTCAGACTCCACCTCGTTCCTCGACTGCTCTCCAGCCCCAGAGAACTGCTCTGCACTGATAAGGTGGTAATGAGGAAAAGAGGATGTGAATAATCATTCTGCATTCACAGCTGTGGTATTACAGGTAATTTTCCAGCTAAAACCCTCGGGGGAAGCTTTGTCGAGCTGAAGGGGCTTATTAAAGAGCTTTACTGATAAACCTTAAAAGGCTGGAGGCTCGTCGCTGTGGGTGAATAAGGAATGAACCGGTGAGCATAATGATGAGATTGTGTTCAAGTGATTAGAATACAGTTCCTTAGGCATGGCTGAGATAAGAGCAATATTTAAGGAACAAATGATGCTCCTCCTTGTCTCACCCATCGACTCTACCTGCAGGTTTTTCTTTTAACTGCGGAAGCTAAGAGGTATTATTAAGGTCACAGCCTCTATCTGAGGAGCGGGAATGAAAGTATTTACTTTAGATATTAAAATCCTAAAAATACTCAGAGATGAGTGATTGCGTCTGATTATTAAATGTCATTTAGTGGAAGATGTGGGAAATTAGAAAGCAGTGTTTTTAGACTGCACAAAACCAGTGATTTTAAGTCTGAAAAACTTTGAATCGCTTGACTCGACAGACCGCACACCGAGGTAGAACATGGATCTCAAGACTGTGTACTTGCAGATATCTCACCACTAGGGGGCCCCTGATGAAGGGACAGGCCAAAGGTAGTTGCACATTCTTCATAAATCTTAGCTACTTACAACACATTCATATTCAAGACCAGAAATTGGTTATTGCAGCAACCAACCACCAGGGGGCCAAAATAGAAATGATAAGGCTGCACCAAGTCAGTAGCCAACCATTTTGCACAAGATTAAATACATGATTAACCTTTTGTGGATGGTACAGTTTTCTGTTGGCATTAAGTAGACAACCGCCCTCTAGTGTTTATAAATGAGTCGCACGTGTTTCAATATGAATGACAAGTGCAGGCTCCTCACCTCAGGGCCACACTATAAGAAGACATGAATTCGCCTTGGTGTTCCATCCATTAGAAGTTAAACTGGACCAGTAACCCACATAGGACTGGAGTATAGAAAAGGCAACATTAGGTCACATGACACATCTGCATGTTAGTTGTACTGTGTCAGAGAACTGGGCATTGATCAGTGTGACTCCTGATGTCACAGCACAGACCTGATTACTGCACTGTTGTTGCTGTGGAAGCTGCTGCTGCTGCTGCTGTCACCATGACAGCTGAATATAAATGTGTTTAAAGGTTAAAGAGTGGCTTAATACAATCGTTTACTGCTCCACTCACATTTACAAAGGTCACTACAGTTTTACACAGCATTAGTGTCAGACCAAACACACTTTAAAGCCCTAATCCTCCAATCAGGCATAAATACACATGACATTACAGTACAGAAATTGCTGTATGGCAGTACCTACGTATGAACTTCATGTTTAAAATTACCAAAAATAAGTTCGGACTGGAAAACTTTACTTCCATTCAGGTGTTCTTTCTAAAAATGTAAAATAAGTAGGGATGTTGGATATTAACTTTTTGCCGATGGTCGATTTTCCAATGTTGTCCAAACACTTAATTTCTGATTCCATTGACTGATATATGTACGTGAAAGAGTTTTCATACTTTACACCATTGAACTACTGCATCTTTATCTACTTTACAGTGATACATATATATTTAACAATCACAAACTCCACAATGCTACACTATGGTCATTAAAACAGCCACAGAGACATCGTCCTCAGTAAGACTCTCTGGATGCCGTCTATTTAAATGCAAACAGGAATGGGAAAACCACAGCAAAAGAGAGTTAGGATGAATTTGTCTTCACTTGTCTTCACTCACCTGCTCTCTTTTGCTGTGATTTTCCCATCTTGGTAACAAGACAGAAGGCCATCTCTGACGCAGGGTTGACGATCAGTGCATTGAGACCAAGAGGGTTTGTGTTCAGAGGTCAATGGAGTGACTCACCAGATATGATGGTGCACTCTTGACGCAACAGTGCAGGTTATTTTTGTACAGTGTGAGCCTTCGATTCAGCACAACAAAAGGGAAGAGCAGTAGAAGTGGTTTACAATGACCAGTCAGGTCAGTATATTAGGAAACACAGTGTGGGGAGCCCCCCAAGTCACACATATACAGTATATACGTATATACGTATATACGTGTATATATATATATATATATATATATATATAGTGTCCCTTATTTGTCAAAGGGGAAAATTCACAGTGTGAGTCTTTGAGAGCCATTAACTGTGTGGGCTCGAACTCAGGACCTTCTGGATGTAAGGCAGATGTCTAAAGCATGTGTTACCACTACACCATGGAACCACCAGTCAAACAGAAAGTGAGCAGAGCTTTTAAGCCTTTTCTGCTTTCCAATAAACAAAGGGTCGCGTTTATATTTGAAGTTGTTTTTCTCTTAAAACAAACAAAATAAATAAAACGCTTCACCACCAACTCCAAGAGAAATGTTGTGTTGATCGATGCAATTCTCCCATGAAATCAAGTGCTTTTTATGTGAAACCTGAGCCCAATAAATCAGCGCATTGTGAAATGTAAAACCTGAGCCCAATAAATCAGCGCATTACAAAAAAGCAAAACACCTTTCCATATTTCTCTCCAACTCTCCTTCTCTGATTGGCTCTTCGGGGGTAAAACCAACATTCCTCCCACACAGTTTGCTACAGTTACTGCTTTTTCCACGACCAGCGCCGTGTTTTTTCATCAATCCTGGAGTCACTGCTCACACAGACTGCTTCACCACGTCTTCACCAAAAGTTACAGCTGTTCTACCTCGTGACTCATTTGTGGATTGTCATCGGAGTTAGTACTGGAGGGAAAAATGTTGGTGTCACCTGTACTAGTAGTCTTTACCTTTGTGTGTTCCTGCACTTTCCAGGCAACATCTGGACAGGTAGGTGTAACTGGATGAAAACGGAGCCAAAGTTTAATATGTTTTTTTTTCTTTTTTCTGCAGTATGTGTTAACTTGGATAAAATAAAAATAATTCCAGCATAAACTGGAGAAATCTGAGTAGTCTCCATGGTAACCGAATTGGTATGAAAACAACACTTGATCACACATGGTTGCTTCAAGTTTTCTGAGCTACAATTATACTTAATAGAGACTGTGTGGGATAATTTTATAATCTCAACTTAAGCAGCGTCTCTGTCTGAAAGACACAAGGCTGAGCTGAGGTTGAAGATGCAGAGATTTTTACTGGCAGTGAATAGAATGAATAAACGTAATAATATTCGAGGCACAAATGAGGTTGGATATAAAGGCATTGTGTGGCTCACATACACAGTCGTTAGCTTCTGTTAAACCGTGTGGATTGATGTTCTCTGGATTGATATCTATTGCTTGTGTGAGACTATTCAAGCTTCCTCTCAGTGTTTCAGAAATATATATATATACTGTATATATATATATATAAATATATATATATATATATATATGTGTGTGTATATATATATATATATATGTATATATATATATATATATATATACATGGGCAGCATCACTTTGTTCTTAGTTCTTGAGGTTAAAGGTTAAAACCACAGAAATCTGAATGCCCTCTCTTCCCCCCCCCAAAGAGCAGAATCCTTAGTTGCTTTGGCCTCATGTCAGGTTGAATTTTAAGTCACTCATGCAGAGAAGTAGATTGATTTCATGAATACTCTCAGTGTATTTCTGCTGTTTCTACTGAACACCGGCACATTTCCAGAAAACTGCACTTTCTGTGCAAACAGCTGATAGAGCATTAACATCCAACCGGATCTTAAGGTACTTTCTTTCATCACTATTTATATCAATACAAACAATGTGATAGTGGGTAATGTTAGGCTCCAACATCATGGACTATAATACTTTATTATGCTACTCCATGTCTGTGCAGCTGGCTAACACAGAACTACATTTCTATGGCATAATTGTAGCAATGGTTTCGTGTTTTGCTGCTCTCCACCTCCACACCAGTTATAGTAAAAACCAAGTAAAGCAAGTAACTAAGAACAGGCAGAAAGAGGCCTTTGATTATTATACTGTAAACACCAACAACCACTGCCAGCCCCCCGCACCTCCCCCCCCTCCAAATCAGAGAGGTGTTTGCCACAAATATTGACTCTTCTTACACAACTCCTTCGAGAAGAAAGCAAGGCAGTAATTGGTGGTCTGAGAACATGCTGGAGAGTACAGGATGGAGTGATACTGTTGAATGAAAGGGAGTGAACGTGGGTAGAAAAAGCAGCCGCCCTCTGCCCCTCATGGTGATGTTTATGCTGAGGGTGTTTCTGTTTTACTGTCTGCCCCATCAGGCCACATCATAAACAGCAGGTAAATCCTTACATAACACCACCAAAGTGACTTTGGCTGATGTTGATCCCTCCTTCAGAGGTTACATAACGTTCCATAATGAATGTGTTCATACAAACAGGGTGTGCAGACCAAGATGGCGGCACACTGCTCTGTAAACTAAGAGCAGGGAGAATCTGGCTGCTGTTTTTTCATCTGGGCCTTTGTTCACCTTTGTTACCGTCCAAGTGACATGACCCTGAAAACACAACGGACACCGCTACACCCACTATCCTGCTCTTAATGGTGTGAGCACATGTTACGTCAGTTGATGGAAATAGATTTTCTAACACAAGTGACACAAGAAGATGTTGTTTCCACATATTTCCACAATAGTGGAAAACATTATGTATGATCATTAGAGGAAAAACAAAAACTAAAACCTTTATTTCAGTGGTTCCAATGTTGGGGTTGGGGTCCCCACAGGGCATTGAATATTGCATGGGGGGGGCACATCAAGACAAATTCTATTGCTCCCTCAGCAGAGAAACTGCACTGATATGAAACAGAATCTTTAAATGTGACTTACCTGACAACTGTATTTCACCTTCACCAATAAACTGGTCACCATCTCTGCTGGGCTCCAGGACTGCCGCAGCAGACAGGACCTCCAGGGTTCTCTGAAGCAGATCCAGAACCTCCTGTCAGCCCACGAGGCAGCCTACCTGCAGAGTCTGCGCAACCTGAAGAAGAAAATAAACTTACTTCAGAGCAGTGCAGCGAAGCCCACAACAAAAGCCATCAACAGTGAGCCGACAACAACAACTTATAAAAATAAATTCCTTTGCCCTTTTTTTTAACAACTTTAGTTTGTTTTTTTAGGTACCTGTCCTAAACTGGATGCCCCCATAAATGGCAGGAAACTTGGCAGGTCACAGTGTGTGAGCCATGAAGTTCACTTCCTCTGTGACCCTGGCTATGAACTGGTGGGGCCGGAGACCAGGATTTGTCAGGAAGGCCTGACGTGGAGCGGGCAGCAGGCAAAATGCAGAGGTAAGAGCAGGAACTGCACCAAAAACGTAATATCATATATACAAAATATAGAGTTTTTTATGATTTAAAATTTGTTTGCTTTTTTATTTTGGTCCATATTAAACCTTAAGCTGAATGTATGTGACATACATTACTGACTGAAGTTCCATCTTGACATCCCTGATTAAATATGAGCTTGAAGTGGCCCAGTATTTGGGTGGAAGATCTGGCCCAGATTATATGTATAGTAAATAAATATCCATCCATCCATGAGACGTGTAATTATTTTGGCAAGGTTTATAAGAACAGTTTAACTTGTTGCAGATTTGTGGCCCACATTTCATCACAAACAGGAGCCTGAGGCCAAAATGCTGTCAGACAGTACGGGCCAGATCTGAGCCAAGAATATGGATATGATAATATATCTTAGTTTGACAATTATTATCAGTTCTTATTCCCCCTTTCTTTTTTTTATTTTCTAAGTTTTCCTCAATGTGCGGCTCTTTGCCCTGGGCCAATGGGGTAAACAATAAAATTTTACTATCTGGGATTTTTGGTTTTGTCCCCATCGTCTCTGCTCCAAGTCCAACAAACAACGTCTTGTTCAGCCCTCCTGTCCTGTGTCCCCCCCCAGACATCAACGAATGTGCGTCCTCACCATGTCAAAACAGCGGCACCTGTGTGGACGAAGTGGACCAGTTCTCCTGTGTCTGTGCCAAAGGCTGGACTGGAGAGACCTGTCAGAACCCTGTGCCAACATGTGGGCAAGACACCCCCACACACACACACACACACACACACACACCCCATCCCACGCACACACACTTGTGGAACTTTGGCCTTTAAACTTTGAATGCAAAAATTTACAATTAAATTCAGAGGAGAGACTTCTAGCACTTGTTAAACATCACATTTCCAAGGGAAAAAAATGTGTAGTACTCAAACCTTGAACTGAAGTTAAAGGAGTCAAATGTTCATGTACTTTAAAATAGTTCACATGAATCAATACCAAAATATTTTCAAATGTTTTTGTGTAAATTATGAAAGTATTTCCAGGAAGGTTGTTTTTTTTATTATTTGCATTACTGTTCTGAATGCACTGACAATTAAAATTAAATTAAAAAATAATTTTCATCCTACAGGTTCAAACACAGTAATTTATTTTTATAAAAACATTGTTCTGAATAACAACCTTATGAATCATTGTAGAATAAATGTTGTCCTTGTTATTGTCTTTGTCTAAAAATTAAATTAATTGGTTTTTTGTCAATATTTCTGAAACACTTTGTTATTTCATGTTGTGACGATAATGACTAAGTGTTGAAAAATAATCTTCCTCCGTCAGTGTTTGACTGGGACTGAATGTTGATGAGCCCCATGAAGGTCAGTTTGTGTAAAACTGACTAAATAACAAACGTGTCATGATTTGTTTCTTCACTTCTTTCAGTCTTTACCTCCACAACAAACACCTCTTCACCCTCCACTGCTTCTTCTTCTTCGTCGTCTGCTGCTGCTGCTGCCACCTCAACAGCTGCCACCCCTGGGGCCTTTGTTCGTCCATCACGCTGCAGTACAGTCCAGGGCACAACCCACTGCACCTGTGAACCAGGATACACCATCTCTGGGAGGGACAGCAGTGTCTGCACAGGCAGGACGATTGTCTGACCTATAAAAAAAGCAGCAAACAAACACACGTGTCAGATTCTAATTATAGTTCTTATCTTTCCTTTTCTAGATGTTGATGAATGTGAGCTGTTTCACAATGGTCAGGCAGCAAAGCTGTGTTTACATGCCTGCGTTAACACAGCGGGAGGCTACCGCTGCACCTGCCCTGCTGGATATAACACGACCCGCGATGGACGCAGCTGCAAAGGTTGACTCACACTTCTTCCCTCATGCCAGAAAGTTTTTTTTTCCCAGAGAGTGCCACATTTTAGAAAAAGTTACATCTGAAAAGTCTCATTATTATAATAACTATTGCTATTTTTATTTTTACTTTAATCCACTCTTTCTGTTTCAAAGTCTTTGCCATGTACTTGTAGCTTGGTGTTATTTGTTCCCAGACATCGATGAGTGTGCAGCCAGACAGAACAACTGCACCAAGGACCAGATGTGCATCAACACATACGGCAGTTTCCAATGTGTCAGTGTGACCTGTCCTAAAATCCCTAATGCTGCTTATGTCAAGACATCACCAATGTGAGAATTAATGCATTATATCTGTCAGGATGTACAATTCCAAACACTATTAACCTTTTTTAAAATGCTAAACATACTTGACAGAGCTAAAGCTAGCAACCTTAAAAAGACATGTCTGTAAAAGCTAAAAACACAGATAGATAGATATTACACAGATAGTTTAGGTTTATCCTCATTCAAAGGTAGTAACATTACACAGATAAATTAGGTTTATCCTCATTCAAAGGTAGTAAAATTGTAACAAAAAAAGGCCCAGAGGCAGGTAAAAAATCATCTGCTGAATGTTTGCAATTCAATTTAGCTCTGATGTTAAATTGCATTAGAAACCACCAAGGTTTAGCATCGCAGGCTAAGTCAGTGAGATTGTATTTCATTAGAACTGAAATGAACCATAATGAATAGTTTCAAAAAGTTCTAGAAGCCGTTTTTAAGGGAGAAAATGTTTTTGTTTTCCTTTCTGCAGGCGTTGTGAACGTAACCCCTGTCCCGTGGACAACAAGGCCTGTTCTCAAACCCCGACTTCCTTCTCCTACCACTACATGTCTATGGTGTCCAACCTGTCAGCCCCTCGTGTCATGTTCAGGGTCTCGGCCCTGCGACCAATGGGCGACACGCTTCGCTTCTCCCTGCTGGGAGGAAAGTTGGCGCGGCGCCATTTCACGGTCCAGCGCTCAGACCGTCTGACGGGTCAGCTGATGCTGGTCAGTCCCATTCAGGGCCCGGCTACGGTGGAGGCAGAGGTGGAGATGAGTGAGCTGGAGAGGCGTGTGCAACTGGGCAGGTACATCACCAAAATCACAATGTTCGTTTCCCAGTATGAGTTCTAGAATAGAAACCGTGGTGTGGACTGGTCAGAGGACATGGAGGTCATGGATGTGAACGTGGTGGATTGTGTGGACCTGAACTGTTGTTTAAGGTACTACAGCTGTTGGAGTTAAAGTAGGAAAGATCACTGGTAAATAACGTGTTTGTTGAGACTGACAGGAACAACAACTACCATGTCTCTCAACTGGTCAACTGTCCAAAAAAAAAAACCCTAAATACTTTACATGTGTTTAATAGTTTCTTTTTGCACAGCAATCTGGCAGACATTTCTGTAATTTATTTCATTTTAATAATGTAATTGGTTCCTGTGCTATTTCTCAAGTTAATATTCCTGACGATTTACAACTTAAACTAACTATTATTTCGCCAATAAATTTGTCAAATAATGTTTGCGTAAATATCGATACAGGTTTTATTATTTAAAAGATGCTTGCAGAAAATGCAGAGAACGAGTTCAGGAAAACACACGAAGAAAACTGAACCGAACTTGTGTTGACAGTCTAATGGAATGAAGTGTTCAGGAAAATAACTACTTTTTTGTTGTTTAACATTTGTACCGTGTGACATGTATCCTGACTGTTATTGTTGTGAACTGGTCTTGGAATGTGTTCAACTGCACTCATTAAACAGCAGATTTATTTTTAATTAAAAAGCGTTGTTTGCCATAAGGGGTCGCTCTCACTTGATCACAACACTTGACAATTAACATCGGCTCCACAACTCATCATTACGTTCTTACTAAACGCATTCCTTTCTCACTCATAGACGTCGACCACACAGGACAAAATGCCCTCAAGAAAACACACACACCTTAAAGTATTTACATCTCTATAGACAGAGATGTACAGTATGTGAGCCGTACCTGTTTGAGCAACACTCTGGTTCCTGCAGCATAGAGCACATCTGTTCCACAGACAGACAGCTAAAGACAGGCAACTGAAAAGAACCACTGTGTGTGTGTGTGTGTGTGTGTGTGTTTCCCACAGCCTGTTAAAAAGATTTAACTTGGAAATGTGCAAAACAGGTCAATACTGGAAACGCATGCGTCACACACTTCCTGGAAGTCATGCCTGCGTGATCACTTTCTCATTTATTTTCTTGGAAAGATGTGAGTAAAATATATATTTTATTTGCGATTAAAACATTTACCTGGAAATGTGGCGATAGACATTACACATTCAGATTATTTCTATTAAATATTATAGATTTAGTGGTAAGTCTAATATATTATCGTAATATTTATGCATAAAAGGGATTTGTTATTTGTCCTATATATAGTTTATAATATTTATATTTAGGGATGCAACTATGTATCATGAATGTCAGTGGTCATACCATGAGACTACACACACTGGTACAGTAGGTGGCGGTGTGAACCTCAAAACATTTGCTGTGACCTGTTATTAAACCAGTGTGTTCCATTCAGTTGTGTTTGTGCTACAGAAGCCTAGCTGGACATTTTACACTGATTTTGAATTTCAACAACAATAACGTTTTAGGAGCTTCGGTATAAACAGCAGTTACAGAATTTGAAGTTTCTCACCTGTTTTGTGTCATCCTGTTGCAGCCACTTTAACAACACTTTGCTCTCACTTCCTGTGCTCCATCATCTTGTTGCTACATCTCACCGTGTTCCCAGAGTCAAACTGTTCAGATTAAAAAAAATAAAACTCACCATGTAACTCAGTGTAATAAGTGCTGACAGTGTGTGTGTAGGGTTGAAATCAATATCCTCACCTCAGTCTGGTTGTGTAGAACAAATCACAGGAAACCTGCACATTCTCTTTGATGGCTGCTCGGAATGTCACTGATACTTATTTTTGAAATGAAACACTTCAGGCTTGTCGGAATTTGAATAGAACAAAGAAGAGTGCGGCCAAGATTCCCAGACTTTTCACAGGACCCTGCACTCAGCTCGGTTCCATCAGCAAGCAGTTGACTTTTAAACGGTGGAAAGTGGCAAGACGCTGAGGTAACAGAAACTGTGGTGATCCTCAGAACAGAACAGTGGAGTAATCGAATCTGTTTTGAGAAACAATTCCAGAAATATTATATAAAAAACATTCTATAAATTCATGCCACAATTAGAGATTTATAAAGCAGGCTAAATGACAAACTATTGTCTGAAACATATAAATAATAACACTAGAATAATTACATGTGTAGGGGACGGGGGTGTCTCTTCTATTTGTTCCTTTATTTGGGATTTTATCAATACACTGCAAATTATAACGTTACGTTAAAGATTAAAATGATTGAACACTGCCCCCTGTTGAGCACAAGTAAAACATGCTGTTCTTTTAACATTTGAGTTTCTTTAAAATCTTTTAATTCCTTGAGAGCCTTGTCCTTTAAATATATTTAAAGGTTGTTTGTTTAAACAATTGTTATATACAAAGCGAGAAAAACAACTTTTGGCCAGTTTTAATTCGTTATTTATTTATTTTACTCTAGTAGCATCTATTGTAAAAATCTTTTTTTTGCTTTGATAAATGTGCCACGGTTATCTCACATCTTGCATCTATTGCAAATACGCATTACATATTAATTAGTTAATATTATTTTAAAATATTTTTTCTGTTTATTTTTTTTGCTTTGATAAATGTGCCACGGTTATCTCACATCTTGCATCTATTGCAAAACACGTATTACATATGAATTAGTTAGTATTATTTTAAAATATTTTTTTCATTAATGTTTGCTTAAATGTAGATATTCCGGGCTATTTTCTTTCTATCGATTCAGCTTCTTTTTTCCAAATGTGAGTTTTTCTCTTCCCCAAAAAAACAACACCCTTTGGTCTATTTTTAATTTGTGTTATATTAATATATTTATATTTTATGTTTGTAGTTGATTACTTTTGGCTAGTATAAATTGTCATTATTCTCATACACGTTAATTTACACGTAATGAATAGTGACTTTGTCAGTCTTTTTTCACAATATGGCGGAAATGAGCCTTTACCATGGAGCCATGATGCTCTCTGGAAACCAAAGCTCCTCCGGGGGCTCCTCCCTCTGACTGCTCCTCAACTTCCATACAGTTTTCCTGAGTACATGGAGGATTTCCTGCCACAACGGTAAGAAGTTTTAACTACAACTTTTTACAAGTAATCCATCAAAGAGAGACACCGTTGTAGCTGTTGTATGTTTCTCACACGTAAACGTAAGCGCATAGCACTGACGTCATTACCAAACTTCGTCCCCAAGTTTTTGTTTGTGTTGTTTTTTTTAAATGGTCGCACTGATGCTAACATGCTAACAATACTTAGCTCATTCCATGGTATAGTTTACTAAAAACAAGACACTAATTTAATATAATTCTCAAATTTCAAATGTAAAAGTTATTGATGCAAAGACTTTCAGGAAAAGTGAAAACGCTCCGCGATCCTACTTTAAACATTATGGTAGAATGATAACGGTGCGCAAGCATCTTCCAACTCCCAGCGACTTTTTTTTATCTGTGTGGCTAACATGCTAACAGATTTCCTCTAAGTTTTTAAAAAGCTTCCAAAAATAAAACTCAAGAAAGGCATGCATACTTAACACACAATGCACAATATAAACGCATAATATATATTCGCATCACTAAGTGTAGCAGTTTATTTTTTTTAGCTCAGTGTTCATTTTTCGATGAAACTTCGACTTACAAGTTTGTTTTTTAAAGATGTTATGGTATCAAATTGTAAAACATTGTTGTTAAATATTGTCCTTTGCCTGTTTATAACATATCATAAATAAAGAATGATTAAATTAAACTTGAAATTAAATGCAGAGTATGTTTCAATTTTCCACAGTTTAACGTGATTGTGAGGTCCGGGCAGATGGAAAAGGCACAATTTGTCCCTTGCAGTTACTCAAAGATGATCAACACATAACAGAGGAACGGCAGAAGCAGACATGTCTCCAAAGGTGCCTGGTGGCCAGGGCAAGGGAGACTATTCTGCAGTGCAGGTAGCTGTTCGTGTGCGCCCCCTGCTGCCCAAAGAACTTCTACACGGTCATGAAAGCTGCATCACAGTGGACAACGAGCTCTCCCGGGTCACCCTGGGCCACGACAGACACTTCTACTGTGACTTCCTTTTTGAGGAGTCCTGCTGTCAGGACGAGCTTTATTCCGTCTCTGTCCAGCCGCTCATTGATGCTTTTTTCCAAGGTTTCAATGCAACAGTCTTTGCATATGGACAAACAGGTTCGGGCAAGACATATACCATTGGAGAAGCCAACTTCTGTAAGTTATTTATACTTTTTCCTTGCATTCGTGTGTAGATAAAGACGTAGTGACTTCATAATCTCATTTTTATTTCTTTTTTCAGGTTCGTTTGGAGACGAAGTGCAGGGAATCATCCCTAGGGCTGTTGCAGATATCTTTAAACTTCTGGATGAGAATGACCTCACAGACTTTTCTGTCCGAGTCTCCTACCTGGAGGTCTACAAAGAGGACTTCAAGGACTTACTGGAGGTGGAGACGGCCAGCAAGGATATCCACATTAGAGAGGACAAAGGCAATATTGGTGTGTACTATGTAACACCTGTCTCTTATTGTCACTTTACTTTACTATTGTTTACACGCGTCAATTTTTTGTGTCATTTTGTCTTTTTTGTGACTTCGTAGTTTTGTTCGGTGTCAAAGAGTGTGAAGTGGAAGGCCTCGATGAGGTTTTGAGTTTACTCGAGTCTGGAAACACAGCCCGGCACACCGGTGCCACCCAGATGAACCCGAACTCCAGTCGGTCACACACTATCTTTACCGTGTACATGGACCAGCGCCGAGGGCTATCACGCCTTTATGGAAACTTTAATTCTTCTGGACCTCAAATGTTGTCCTCCAAGTTTCACTTTGTGGACCTGGCTGGATCAGAACGCATCTTAAAGACGGGAAACACTGGAGAGAGACTGAAGGAGAGCATTCAAATAAACAGTGGACTTCTGGCTCTGGGAAATGTTATTGGAGCCTTGGGGGATCCTAAAAGAAAAGGCTCTCACATACCGTACAGGGACTCAAAAATTACAAGGTATGTTTGATTATATCCTGAGGGAACAGTTCTGTAGAAAGGATAGACCAACTTGTTTGTGTGTATTTAATAAATTACTTGGGGTTTTTTTTCTTCCAGGATCCTGAAAGACTCCTTGGGAGGAAATTCAAAAACACTAATGATTGCCTGCATCAGCCCGTCATCGTCAGATTTTGACGAGAGTCTCAACACACTGAACTATGCCACGAGGGCCAGAAACATTCAGAACCCAGCCACAGTCAACTACAAGCGTGAGCCTGATCGAGTGGAAGGTTTGGAGCAGCAAATCAAGGCCCTTCGCAGGGCCCTGGAGATCCGCCAGCGCTCAGAGACCCGCATTATCGCACACGGCGATCCAAACAGGAGGCCTCGACCCGGAGAGGGAGAAATCAGCAGACTGCAGGCCCAGAGCGCCCACTACAGGACATGCACAGACACTGCCTACAGGTAAATAATAACAGTTATCAGCAAGAATAAGTCCAAATATTTATGTACCCTAAAGTAAATGTATGGATAAACCATAGCTGTGCTAAGTGATTCTAAGTGAATCTCTATGAAAAAGTTATAATTAACTTCATAACTACAAACCTGTTGTGAACCTTAGAGGCTCTCAAAAAGATGAAGGATAAAATAAATCGATTAACAAACAGTTGTTTCAATGAGCCGCCATCTTGATTTTAAATAAGGGGTCAGTTCAGTTCATACAGCCGGGGGTTTCCTTCACTTTCCTTCACAGGCCTTCCATCAGAGCTATTTTAAGCAGCAGCGGCAGGTCATCCCAGGAAAAGTGATGACATGTTTTTCTTTACTGCTCGTGTATCATAGGCTGCTGCTGGAGCTGCAGAGTGAAGGCACTCTTACTCCTGAACAGAGCTTGAGAGTGAAGGAGTGGCTGAACTCAGTGGAGGAGGAACCCAGCAGACTGACCACTGCCTCAGGTCCAGACAGTGGAATTGAGAACAGCTCCACCGAGGATGCTGTTGCCCTGAGGAGGGGGAGACCGAGTCTGAGAAACCAGGTCTGTGTCCTCTCACTCTCTCAGGTTTGTGTGCAGCTTGGTGAGGTATGCAGTACTGATATGTCCACACGTGGTTTTTTTTTAACCAGGATCCAGAGGCAGCAGAGGAGAGGTGGAGCCGTGAGCATGACACTGACAAAGGTGGAGAGAACGAAGATGGTGTGGCTGAGCTTCAAGCTCAGATTCAGCGATTAGAAAGAGAGAACACAGACTTTTTGGCAGCGCTGGAGGATGCTATGGAACAGTACAAACAACAGGTGAAGCACGGGGCTGTTTAACTGACAGCAAAGTTGATCTAAAAATGATTTTTTTGGATGCAGGTGTTAATCTCCTCCTAAATCCTCTTCTCTCTCTCAGAGCGATAAGCTGCAGGCGCAACAGGACCTGATAGAAGAGTTGCAGTATCAGCTCTCAACTGCAGGGTATATCGGCCTGGGCCTTAACTTCAGATCACGGCCACATACGGCGCCCATTGGCACCAAGCAGCAGAGTCAGAATGGTGGCACACACAGACAGGCAAGAGCAATGAACACTCATTCATCATAATCACTTTGATTGTGCTTAAAATCTGTGCTTTGGAACATTAAGATATGGAATTCAACTCCTTGTTGAATTGCTTTAAAAAGTCATTATTTGTTGTTTGATGTTCTGTGTGTGGGGTCACAGGTCAGCCCTTTGACCTTCCCTTGTCATGGCTCTGGTGTTGAAAGTGATGGGGACTTATATGAAGAGCAGGACTTTAGAGGAGAAGAAATGGCAGACATGAAAGAAGACAACAGTCATTACAGTCTCAGCCAAGAGAGACACAGGTATGTGCTGTATATACAAGACATGACTCAAACTGCAAACTCCGTTTGTCGGATTCAAGTAGAGTATAAATTAGTAGTAGAGTATAAGTTCAAGAGTATAAAAAATAGCAAAAAATAAAATAAAAGTCTGGTAGTGTGTCTTTATGAGGATTTGTCAGTTTTACTTTGAAATATAGTATATTTCCTGTGTTCCTGTCAGGTCGGTGAATTTGACCTGGACCAAAAGGGACCTGCTGGGAGGAGGACTAACAGCTTCTGTGAAAAGTCCAGTGGCATCTCGACTGCCTGGTGTCAGTCAGCACATGTGTTTATCCAGAAAAGCATGTAGGTTTAAAACCTCCCAAAAAAATCTCAAGTACCATAATAATTACCAGAATGACTAAACAACATGTTGTCTACTCTTTTATATTATTCTGCAGCCAATTCCAGTTCTACAGAGTCAACAGTACGAGAGAGTTTGAAAAGTTTGGAAGCCGTTTCAGAGTGGGGTCTGCCTCAGGCTCAGCAAAAGATCCGGGAACTTTCTGTCACCATTCGCATGAAAGAAGATCTCATTAAGGAACTGGTTAAAACAGGTGCTGCACCTCACTGAGATTATACAATTTGCTCTTAATATATTTTAAATTGGCTGGATTGAAAAGGTTTGGTTTGTTGGGTTTTTTAGGTAAAGATGCTCAGGCCCTGAACAGGCAGTACAGTCAGAAGATCACAGCACTGGAGAGTGAAGCTACACAGGCTCGACAGGAGCTGCAGGAGGCCCAGCGGCAGCTGCAGGACCTGGAGAGACAAGAGAGAGAGATCAGCGCCTCAGACAAGACCAGAGCGCAGGAGTGTCGACAGAAGATTGCTGCTGCTCAAAGCAAAGTTCAGGTTTGTTTTCTTCACAACTGTTATCAAAATACTGGTGAAAAGAATTAATTTGTCTCCGGAGACAATTCATGATCTTTTTTTTCGGTTTCAGGTTCTCAGTCAGAGGCAGAGGGACACGGCTCGTCTGGCAAACCTGCCGGCTCAGAACGAGCGTAGAGTGTTGGAGCTGGAGCGAAGTGTCCAGGCCATGAGGCAGCAGCAAGAGCAGCTGCAGAAGAGGCTGCGACAAGAGAGTCAACAGAAGCGACGTCTGGAGACCGAGATGCAGCGAAGAACTCACAGAGTGAAGGTGCAACCAACAGTCGTCCGTTTAAAGTGTTTTTTCCATTAGATGGGAATGAAGGGAATTTCCCAAGTTGTATACTTACTTGTTGTCCTTGTACTTTACTTTGTTCATGATCACATGCTGTCAACCATCCATCCGCCTTCATCCCCCCCTTCCACTCACCCCACCCCTCTACACAGGAGCTGGAGATAAAGAATGAGCAGCAGCAGAAGATCCTGAAAATAAAAACGGAGGAGATCGCTGCCTTCCAGAGACAGAGGCGCAGCGGCAGCAACGGCTCCGTGGTGTCACTGGAAGAACAGCAGGTGCGAGGAATGACACAGCAGTTCACATTAACTACCGTCCAATCACAGACCTGTCAGTCATTTTGTGTGGTTCATCTTTGTTTTCACCACTTTAATGAGCAGAAGATTGAAGAACAGAAGCGGTGGCTGGATGAGGAAATGGAACGAGTACTTGAACAAAGGAGAGGCCTTGAAGACCTGGAGGGAGAGTTGACCAAACGTGAGCAAATTTTGGCTAAGAAGGAAGCACTGCTGCAGGAGCGCAGCGGCCTGGAGACCAAGCGGCTCCGCTCCAGTCAGGTATCACCGATCTCCAAAACTGAGAGTTTGTCAGCTGAAAAAAAAAATTGTTCAATTCTAATAGTTTTGTATTTGTCTTTTGACCAGGCTTTGAGTAAAGACCTTGTGACACTAACTCGACGCATCGAATCACTGGAGCAAGAGTTAAGCGAGAGGAACGGACTCCTGCGCAGCAGCAGTGCTCAGGACTCCCAACAGATCCGCCAGGAGATTTCCAACCTCCGTCAAGAGAAAGATTCACTACTGAAACAGAGGGTGGAGCTGGACGACAAGCTCCGGCAGGGAAACCTGCTGTCACCTGAGGTCAGAACAGATTTGTCATTACATTCGCTCTGTGGATCAGTGTCTTTGTTCTGTTTGTCAGTTGACCGGTCTGTGTCATCCGGTGTACACAGGAAGAGCGAACCCTGTTCCAGCTGGACGAGGCCATCGAGGCTCTGGACGCAGCCATCGAGTACAAAAACGAGGCCATCACTCAGAGACAGAGGCAGCTGAGAGCTTCAGCCAGTATGTTGTCCCAGTGGGAGATGAACCTCATGGCCAAACTCAGTTACCTGTCGGCCTCCGAGACCAGAGCCCTGCTCTGCAAATACTTTGACAAGGTCTGTCACACTGCTGCGCTGTTTCTACCGTTCTTACTCGTATCAGTGTTGAGCCTGTGTTTTTATTCAGCGTCGGTGTCCTCTGCAGGTGGTCTCTCTGCGTGAGGAGGAGCGTAAGCTGCAGCTGGCTCTGGCAGAGCTGGAAATGCAACTGGACGAGAAGCAAAGATTGGTGCAGTGGCTGGAGAACGCACTGGATCGAACCCAGCTGGACACTGACCGCCGGCTCACTCAGCAGCAGAAGGAACACGAGAGGAGCGTCCAGCTTCTACTGCAGCAGTGCAGAGGTTGTTTTTTTTTTAAGGAAAAAAAAGTAATTGCCTCATTGTAGTCGTTCAGACTCATCAATGAATTATTTTGTCCTCACAGATCAAATGGACGAGGGCTTAGCAGGAAGGCAACGTCAGTTTGAGGTTTGGATCCACAACCTCAGCAAAGAGCTTAACCACTACAAGGCTGCCAACGTGGAGCTGAACAACAAAGTACGGGAGCTGTGTGGTTCAGTCAACCAAACGAAAGACCATGTCAAAGGTAGTTATGGTTTTTAGTCCTATTGACAACTGTTTAAAAGACTGAAAAAAACCATCTAGGTACGTAGGTTTTTATTGCCAAATATGAAACTAAGAAAAATTGGACAAAAAATCTGGCAAGGGCAAAAATTAAAAAAAAAGATTATTCAGAGACAAGGTTATATAATCTGCTGGGAATTGACAGAATGAAACCCAGACTTAAAAAAGGTTCTTTTTTCAGTATTCCTTTCTCTACACAGTAACTGAGATGTAAAGTGACATTATGTCAATGTCAAATCACACACTTTTACTTTGTTTTCAAACTGAAAGTTGTAGCACGCTCCATGGAGGTGGCTCTGATTTTCTTTGTTTATTTTAAACTCCCGCAGGTATTGGCAGTATTGAAAAGCTGTCTCGCTGCCCTGACGACAACACGGGTGTCAAAGGTTTGGTCCAGGCTGATAAACCCTCCAGATCCAGGGAGGAAATGCGTGAGCTGGTGAACACACCACTCCCATCCACATGGAGGCGCTCCTCTCTCCCAATCGAGGAACCAGCCGTCATGGAGGAGCTGTGGCTGCGAGCGGCTGGGGATCTGCCCGCCCATCGGGTGGTTCAACCTGGTGTGACATCCTGGAACGGACAGGCATCACTGCCTGTGGTCAAACCTCGCCGAGACTCGCGTCGCCCCAGTCTCAACAGTGGACCACTGTCCTCACACAATACAAAGATTGATGTACGGAAGAACCCCGTCTGAATTTCTGAATAAGGTTCATCCAGAACCTTTAAACTGTCCTGTGGTTTCAAATGTATTATTTCAACTTTTTAATATCACATTTTTATACATGTAAATTAAGATTTTTTTATAATAAAAATGGATACCAACAGTTTTTATTTTTACATAAAGCACTTTCTTTGTCGTAGATACATCTAATTCAACGCAGAAATGGCAAATGTATAGTTTTTTTTTTTACAACCATGAAAGATCAAGATGTGAATTTTTTTTGTACAAGCTGCTTCACTAATAGTCTTACTTGTAGTCGTCTGTAAACTTTGTTGTATTTTATATTATTTTTTAATGCTCATGCTGCTTGTGTTTTAATTAGCAGATAAAAACATGATGTCTATTAAAATTAAGGCAGACTCCAGGCAGAAAAACTACATTTGTTTCTTTGTTTTGATCATGAGATCTTTTCATCTCTCCATTTATTTTAACAGGAATTTGCCACTATCACCCCTTTGACAGGGCCGTCATTTAGTGCATTATATTATTGTACATTGTCCATTCCTACATGACAATGTTTACGTTTTTCTGACAGTAAAGCTCAGCTGATTTTGTAAACAATTTTCAAAATACTACATTTATACAAATATACAGATTTTATTAAGTAACACACTGAGGTAAATGACCAAAAGATACTTATTTGATTTCCGTAAACCTGAATTACAAATATTCTAAATCAACATTTAAACGGTTGATTTGTTTTGAGACCAGAACAGTACACAACGTCTACGTAACGTTCAACCGACGCGTGACGTATTTCGACGCGTTACGTCGTCCCCTCGTAGGAGCGTACAAGGTCGTCATCTCTGTAACAGCAGCAGCAGTTAGCCGCGAACATGATGTCCTTAGCTGCCCGTTCAGGGGCTTTTTCCCCTTATCTGCAGGCTTCCACTTTCACTGTGGCCGGACCACTGAAAGCCCTGGTGCCCGGTATTCTGGTGAATGAAGAGAAGATGTTGTTTGACCCAAAGAAAAAGATATTGTGTCGGGATTCAATGAAGGGTCAGAGCCCGAAGACAGGGCCTGTGGTGTCAGTTAGCATTGGAGGTGAGTTTGCTAGCATTAGCTTAGCATGTTAATTCTCTTTTTTACTAATTTCGTGATTATTCGCCTTCTCTTCAATTTATTTATAAAATCTCAAGATAAGAGGTTGTTGTTATTATTATTATTTTTAGGGAATTCAGTATATTAGTAAAGCAAATAAGTTGACTCTTGCACATAGATAGTTGTCCTTTCCCCCAAAACGTAGAAGATAATTGTGTAAAAATATTAAACGCGTTTTTATTGTGCTGGCATAACTCCTAAACATCCTCAAAACTAAAGTCACTTAAAGGGCACAGAATGTTAGTGGAATTGCAAGACAAGTTTTAAGTTCAATATTTTGTTTATTATATCCAAAAGTCAGGTTTTTGGATGTAAATGTTCTCTATATATTTTTGAGACATTTGCTGCTCCATTTTAAGACAACCCACAGATGTCAAGAGACAAACATGTTTCTGTCCACAGGCCCAGCAGGAGTCAGATTTGCCCACACAGACATCAGGATACCAGACTTCTCTGACTACAGGCGTACAGAGGTTCTCGATGCCAAACAGTCATCTCAGGATAGCGGTGAATCCAGGAGGACCTTTTCCTACCTGTTCACAGGGGCCACAACTGTCATGAGTGTTTATATGGCCAAGACAGCGGTCTCTCAGTTTGTCTCGTCCATGAGCGCCTCAGCTGATGTCCTAGCCATGTCCAAGATAGAAGTCAAGTTGAGTGACATCCCCGAAGGCAAGAACATGACCTTCAAGTGGAGAGGCAAACCGCTCT